AGTACAGGTGTCTGTCGAAGAATATTCTACCAGGAACCAACTAGATGAAGTACAACGTTCTTTATTCTAGTTTGGAGGGTGTAAGACATTTTTCATATGTTAATAAAGGAGATGAGCTAAACTCTGAGAAAATAAATAAGGAAATAAGTTCATGGATATTTTTGATGGTTTGGAGGAAGCAATGCATTGACCTTTTCACTATTGACAGAATTCTTCTCTTCCTCTATATTACTTCTTATACCTCCCTCTCTTATTTGTTTCTTTCCTATCTTTTACCAATGTGGGACTTGAAAACATAACAGAATGTTATTGGAACCGATTCCAAAGATATGATAGCCTTAATGCTTCAGAATTTGTTACAGCACGAGTCGCTGTTGAAGATGAATGACTTCCAAGTCCTTAAAGAACAAAGGAAGTCTGAATGAAGGCTAACTGCATCTTCCCAAGTAGGTCATCACAATATAGAACAAATTAACACAGTAAAACTTGAACAAGGAAGCATTGGGTAGGGGCCGCGCGAACGCGTACCCCCGCTCTCACAAATTATGACGTACACTCTCCCACTTGGGGAGATGTTAAGCTGGCACCCCTCCTCAGTGCAATGGAGGTCGCCCGCCTAGGCCATGGGCCTTCTTGTTCACCCATTGACCCCGTCCAGGTAAGTATGTTCTTCTCTTCCTCTCTATTCTTTCTTATATCTCTCTCTCTTATTTGTTTCTCCCCTATCTTACCGATGTGGGACTTCAAACCAAACAGAACGTTAGACTAATCAGAAATGCTCAGTTGCTCATTCTCCTGTCATACCTTCTGATGCCTTCAAATACATATGAGAGCTTCTTTCAGGCACTGGTATTACTTATTTCCAATGACGTTGGCCATGATCAGATAAATATGAACTATTTCGTTTCGATTTTGTATTTAATTTTTTAATGAATAAATTTCCTTGACCGTCCAAAATCACATCCATACCCCCAATGCTCGAAAAAATGGAACACATGGCAAATATAATTAGAGTTAGAGGGTCCAAAACTTTGCCTCCAATAATGCTTTTTCTTTACCTGATTTTTGTCGACCTCCTTTTGTGGAATTCGTGTGGGGTATTATAGGTATTATGATAAAGATGAAGGTTGAAAAATACTTCATACAAAAAAATAATTAATGGATCTAAGGGTATTATAGGTATTATGATAAAAAATAAGAAAAAACATCACAAAAATGCCCATGTTTTCACCATTCAACAAATGAGTGGTGAAGTGGTGATCTATATGTAAGGTGGTAATCTATTTATACATACATAGGCTCGGTTTGGTTTGTGGGATGAGAAGGTAAAACATGGAGTATTTAGAATATTTCTCCCTTCTCATGTTTAGTTTGTGAGATGTCATGAGATGGGATGGGAAAAAGGTGGGGTTATAGATCCTAGTTCTTGGGTTGTGGAGTCTCACCACTTTGTGCTAAACAAGTGAGAATGTAGGGTGAAACTTATTTAAAAGAAAAAACACCATCCTTGTAGTATTTCTATGAGTTAATACTAGATTCTTAACCTATAAATAAATAATTAATCATTTTATAACATATTAATAAAATAATGTAATTAAAGCAATTAATAAATAACTTAAATAATTAATTAATAAAAATATTAATCAATAAATAATTTAATAGTTAATTATATTTMCAAAATAAACTATTAAAATTATTAATTCAATCATAAGTATTAATAAAATAAAATATTCATAATAAGATAAAAACTAATTAAAATGATTAATTAAT